CAGGCTGTACTGGACTAATGCTCTAAGAGCTACAAAGCAGGTTATAACACAGACAGGCCTTAATGGAATTCTTGGACAATATACAACACACACACACACCCCAAAAAAGAAAATCAACTCATTTGAGATGCGGTGCTGGAGAAAAGTGCTGAGGATACTATGGACAGCCAACAAGGCAAAACAAATGCATCCTGGAACAGATCAGGCCTGACCTCTCCCTGGAAGCCAAGATGACTAAACTGAGGCTGTCATACTTTGCCCACATCATGAGAATGCATGAATCATTAGAAAAGACAATAATGCTAGGGAAGGTAGAGGGTAGCAGAAAGAGAGGAAGGACACAGGCCAGATGGATAGAGTCAATTAAGAAGGCCACAGGCTTGAAATTGCAGGGCCTAAGCAGAGCAATGGGGGAGTCTTGGAGATGTCTCATCCAAGGGGTCACCATGAGTCGAGGTCGACTCGAGGCAACTAACAACAAACAACAAGAAAAATGAGTTGTATTCAACATTATTTACATGAGAATGGCTATTGTTGGAAATGCGTGATTTGTTCTTGGTTATTAAATATTGACAGAAGATGAGCAATGGTATGTGAAAGGAAAATAAGGGGAGTGGTTACTTGGTTTGATGCTCAAATCTTAAAACGATCAGAAATGTCTGGTGGCTTCCATGTCGGTGAAGCTATTGGGTTCCATGACAGTGGGGCAGTGAACCTGTTTGGGGTTTTAGTTTGAACCTGAAAGGAGTTGCCCAGTATAGTGAAGCCATTTGAAGGATTAACTTCAGCACCTGGGACAGCTCTTTTAAAGTACAGATTAAACCTAAGGAAAAAATTGCTGCACAAGAAGTCTCCAACTGGCATTGCTAGAATGCACCAATGTAGCTAAAGAAAAGTAACTGGATCTCATTCTCTTCCACACTTTCATGGACAGACTTTCTATGTAGTGAGCATTTAAACTGTTTTAATTATTGCAAGTTGCCAGTGGACATTTGGGAATTACTTAACAGAGCCAGGGATGTAGCTATTGGGAAAGGGCAAAACTCGGACATTGCCTCACTAAATGATCATTCTTCCCAGCAAGGCACTTAATTTTCCTTCAGTCTCCAACTTTCTAACATGGCTGAGAGTGAGACACTGAAAATAGTTCACACCAAGAACTCTTCTATTTGTCATATTCTCATCACCTAGCAAACCTGGCCTGCCTCATTTTGGATGGATGCACTAAACTGTATTCCTAAATGCTCAACTGAAGTCTAAGGTTACTGCAATGCTAGAAGTTTGAAGATTGAAGGAAAATTTCCTTTGGGAAGCAGAACTCTTATTGGGAGCAATGTCCTCCACTGATGTGCATCATGACAGGTGGATTCTGTCATACAGGTGCTCATCACAATAGTCTAGGTATGGAAAGGATATTACCAAATATTTGTTTCCCATAATTGAAACATGGGTGTCCCCACAATTGGGAAACTATCAGAAAGAGCAACAGAACAAGACATCTGGGCTATCTCCTCTGGAGAGTATTCTGAGGGAAGTATTCTGCAGAGAAATGCATACGTTGCTTGGCACAAAAGAAAACGCTGAACATTTTTTTGTGCAGAAATCATGTGAGATGTAATGGTTTGACTGTTGGACTGTGACTCTGGAGATCAGGGTTTGGTTCCCCGCTTGGCCATGAAATTCACTGGGTCATCCTGGCCAGGGGTATGCAACCTTTCCCCTTTAAGGGCCGAGGGACTTCAGCTCCCAGAAGCCTCATCCATGTTGGCCAATAGTCCCATGTTGGCCAATAGCTCCTGGGATTCTGGGAGCTGAAGTCCCTCGGCCCTTAAAGGGGAAAGTTGCCTACCCCTGACCCTGGCTCTCTCAGCCACATAGGATGGCCATAACAAACCCCCTCTGAAGAAACTTCCCAAGAAAACCTTATGGTAGGTTCACCTTAAAGTTGCCATTAGTCAAAAATGACTTGGAGGAACACAACTACAACAGCATGTAGGATCTGGGGAGGAAGGCAACCCATATGTATTACTCTGAAGGATAACTCTTGGGGAAATAGGGTTCCCTGTACCTTTAAAAGCTGTGTAAAAGGGAATTTCAGCAGGTGTTGCTTGTTACCTGGTTGTAGGACAACCAATACCT